AATAAACATAAATTTATTCAATAAAGCAATAACTGCTTTTTATATATTTTTGCGGAGAACGCACAATAAATAAACATTTTTTTAAAACACTGGTATTAATTGTAAACAAATTTTACAACTCACATTTAAGCAATTCAAAAACAGTATTAATAATTTTCTTTCAAAAATTCTTGTTTTTTTCTTTGCCACAACAAAACAAAATATTTTCAACTCGACGTCCGCTCTCGTTCTTAACCGACGGCGAACAAAACCCACTCTGACAATATGAAAATGAAACAAACGCAGAAACAAGAAAACTTAACGCAAGCATTACCAACATCAAGTAATGCACAAATAATAAACTTATTATGATAAATGAATTGTGACATGTACTAGCAATTATTATACTCGAATTTTGCATTAAACGCATGTAATAATTTATTAAATATGTTTTTATATCTACTAAATAAGTCTGTTTATGGAATTAACAACATTTAATTTTTAAATTTCCTACAAGTATAAAAACTCAAATTGAAAAATGTATTTCAAACAAAAGACAAATTTTTTAATATTATCAAAAATTATTATCAAAATTAATACGTTTTCAGGTGTTTCAATAAATTTTATAATAAAACTTTATACAATTTATATCAAAATGTTTGGTGTTGCTTCGCTGTTTGACAATTAAGATTCCGTCATGTAAATACTAATTCTCAATTGTGCACTTATTAGTAATTAAAGTTCGCTAAATTTAAAATATAATAAGGTCCAATTATAATAAGGGTAATTAAAGTATAATCCCTACTTCTCAAATAAAGTAATACTTCTCACTTTTAATAGATGTTATATAAAAAACGTGTATTCCAAGTAACATACACATTTATATATAAAAAAATTCTGTGTTTTTTATATTATTATTATTTTATATATAATAACATTTAAATATTTAAATGACTAACATTTGCGACTTGCATATTTACCTCAAATCTCACAGCTAGGTGGCGCGACTAAATTTTTTATTTATTATTAACAACAGTCATTGGAATCGCTATGACCAAAGAGTACTTTCTGGAGTATTCTTTTATTGCAAACTATTTGATTCTTTAGAGGTTTATAATTGCAAATCGTATATTAAAAAATGATTAATTTTTAATATAAATTAAAGTTTTATTAAATTTAAATACATTGAAATATATATAATATATAAAACTCATAAAGAATTTTCAGTTTGTTATACATTTTCTCGACAGCCTTAGCACAAGCTTTTTCCAATATAATAATTAACATATACATCTTAAATTAAAAAAAAATTTGATTGGAATTTACTTGTCCACAACACTGTTTTTTATTAAGGTCGTGTGCCAGTTTGAGTAAATTGAAGTAGAGTAAATTGAAATTTATGTAAATATTTATATAAATATTTATTTATTTTTTGCACTTATTTATTATTTTTGGTTAAAAGATGTCAAATTTATTTATTTATTAAACATCTTATAAAATTTTCATAATATAACACCTAATTTTCCTAATTTTTATCTAATTTAACCTACTCAAAATTCTGGTAAATACCAACATTCCCTGCCATACCGACATAATTTACTTAAGTTTAAATGTACAGAATATATAGAAATTTCTAATAACAGAAATCCTCATATTGCAGTAGACCAATACAGTGTTTATGTTGGAAAAGCTACACAAAAACTTTACTCAAAGTAGTGGTAAAGTTCTTATAAATGACATAAAGGCTTAAGAGAGACATCTTTGCTGATACTGCTGAGTAATATAAGACCAGAGAACCATGCTTCGACGTTGCTGTAAGTAAAAATGACCTCGCAAAAAATTACCGACAATCTCGAAAAATACCATTAAAAACTAATAAACAGCTTAAGATGGTTCTTCTAAGCTGGGACGATCAGAAATTAAATTGTATAATCTTTGACTAGTAGATCCATTTTCTCATGGAGTGCAAGCTTTAAATAAATTAAACTTCTCTTTTCATTTATATTTTCATTGTCATAAAACAAATTTATTTATTTTTTATTTGTTGTAAATTTTTTAAAATATTTTTTAATTGTAACACAAATATATATATTATTCTTATATATTTTAAATAATGAAAAATAAATTTTTTTTTCAAAAATAATAATGAAATAATTAGAATATTTATAGAAATTTTTTGGTACTTCCGAAACAACTTACATTTTTATCTTAATGCAATTAGAGATACTATTTACATAATATTTATATTTTCTATATATATGTATATATATTTGTGTGTGTATGAAAATTTTAAAAAGCTATATAATGCATCTTTTCATATATATATATGTGTGGTATATATATGCATAAAATAGTTAATCGCATAGTCTAAGGTACTAAATTAATAGCTTCGAATATTTTAATTGATGACAATTGCTCTTTAACATTATATGAATTTATTTAATTATATAATTAACGTATTTTTGGTTTATAATTATAATTTTTATAATTATTCATTTTTTATAAATTTCCTTTATAAATTAATTCAATTCAACATTTGTTGTATTTATTGTTGTTAAGAACTATTTCAATTGAATTGCATGTCCAATATTATTTTTATGTATATTAATTTTCAAAAATAAATTTCAACATTTTTTTAACTATATTATGTATCGAAATATTTTAGTATATACTACTATTGATAACTTGTATTTTTCATAGTTTCACTTGATATTTCCTTGTTATATGTGTACGGTTTATCCATAAGCTACAAAATAATAATATTAATATTTTTAAAGAAATCAATATTTAAATCAAATCATAACTATTTTAAATATTAGATTTCGAGCCTGATAAAAAAAATAAATAGAATATATTTTACTCCCTTGAATTACTAGCTCTTAATTAAATAATATATAATTAATTAATTCATTAGATTTAATTTAATTTTTGAAAATAATTTCTTTCATAAACGTATAATAACGTCGGTTTACTAGCAGTTACCACCACTAGCACAGTGCTGGTTTTAAAAACAAAAATAAAGAAACATTAAAAGCAAAGACTTTTATTTTGTTTTTTTTTAACACAAAATTCCATTTTTAATAATATTAATAACTATACACTAAAACAGACAATTATTTTATTAATAAAATATACAGTTATTTATTTAATTTTTTTGAATTAACAATTAAATTTGGTTTCGTTTTTATATTAAATATATTTTAAAATTAAAAACTTTAATTATTTAATATGTTTTAAAAAAATTTGAGTTTGCCTAAAATATTTTATTTCATTTAAAAAATATATTTATATATATGTGTGTATATATATATACTATGCTTTTCATGATATCACTTAAAAAATAATGCTAGACATAGATTTACTTAAATAGTTTAGCATAGATCACTACAAATTGCAAAATAAAGCTTAAGTTATTTTGTAACAATATTTTGTTTAACTGTTTTGTTTTATTTTTAAATATATATATTTGTTAATATTAACAAGTTATACAATTCTCATATATTTTAGCAAATTATAAGCTTAAATTAATGGCAAATTACTGACATATATAAAAATGAGTAAATATATTAAAATTAATATATTGTATTTTGGCATATAATTATATTGCCAGAAATGTGTACATGTCTTTTTAATGACATTTTATTGAATCAACAACTAATATACTTTATAGTCTATTATTATTATGTAATGGAATAAAACTTTGAAAGACTAGTTCTGATACGTTAAATTTTATATATTAAATTTGTACTATTGAAAGTATTTGTAGCACTCTCCATATTAACACCAAATAGACCAATATACTAACAAATGAGAATTGTATAACTTATTACTGTTATTTTTTTATAAAAATATTTTATCTTACAAATTTTTTTTTTGTTTAACTAAATACAAACATTAAATTTTGAGCTTTTATGCAAATTATAATAAAGTAAAGAAGTGTACTATCAAAGAATTATTACAATTTTTGGCAGTATTTTTAATGCGTTTAAAGCCTAATACAGAATAAAGAATAAAATAGCAAGTTCTGGATTATCCATTAATTTTTTAACTTCTGATTTCTTATTTTAGTGTGCACAATTGAAAAATGTGATAAAGGTTTTTAAACATTAATATCTTATATCAAATACAATTAATTTATTATTTTAATTGCTTACAAATATAATTAATAAAAAGTGTTAATGTACTCGTTTGCACCAATATATACACTTCATTTGTATGAAGCTTTTGTAAAAAACAAAATACTTTTTTATATTACACATTTCTGTATTAGACTATAAATAATTTCTTTAAAATTATAATTAACGAAATAATAAAAAAAACTAACAATGTGATGTTTGAGTTTGATTCCAAATAAAGATACTTAAAATACAAACATTTCTATATCTATAAAAATTTACCAAGCGGCCTTTTGCTGAACATTACTTCAGTATAACAAAATGCGCTTATAAATTTAAGATTTATATCAAATTTCCTTTTATAAAATGCTACCAATTTTTAATAATTAATTTTTAGAAAATACGCATTAATTCCTTTAAAATTAATTGATTGCTTATTAAAATGTTAGCAATTAGATTTTAAACTAACTGCTTTCAATTTAAAAACGATCTTATTGTCTATTTAATCTATTAGAAAATATTAAATATTTTATTAACAAAATCGTAAATTCAAATAAAGCATTTGGCAAGCACTTTAATTTAAAAAATAAACTTATAATATTAAAAAATAGAAATTATGTTTAATCGACTAATAGGACAATAAATTAAACAAATTCTAAATTACGTTGTACAAAATCAGTTGTTTAGTTCTTTTTCTTCTAATAAATATAAAATAACTACGGCATGTTTTTTGATTAACTGCACTTAATTAAACATAAATAAATCTTTGTGAATTAATAACTTACAATAAATTTACAATGTACACAATATTTTTGTTTTCGATATAAATAATATTTCGCTTAACAGGTTTTTTTTTGTATTTATACTTTTAGTTACTGAACTATTTAAATTTTGCAACTTTTTCTAATATTAATTAATACAAATTATAAAATATATCAATACATTTAGTTGGTAAATTAATATAAAACTAACAAGCCTATAAGATTTAGCAACTACAGCTGCGCCAAAGAATCTGCACGCATTAGTGGTGATAGAGGACTGGTTGTTTTATGCCCACCTTCAATTTCATACTGTACATCTACAGATGCTCCTACATAATGAAAAATTAAAACATATTTACATGTTCAAAATATATTCCATTTTTGTTTGTTTTTATTTTTCTTTTTTTTTATAAAAAATATTTTATTTATATTGTAGTTGAACTCATACTTTTCTTTTCGCTAGGTGCTCTACTTAGATTCACATCTTTGCCTCTACCATCTGGTATAAATATTGCCACTAATATCGCCAAAACGACCATTAATGCGCCAAATAGAAACGGTGGCCCTGGAACCAGTTGCGCAAACTTAACATTGTTAGACGTATGATTCTGATTTGGTTCCGCACCAGCTGTGTTAATTTGATCGGTATTAAGATCCACATTAAATAAGTAAAATATTACACCAAACATAGCTGGGCCTAGACCGTTGCATAGACCACGCATGCCTGTTACCATGCCTTGAACAGCACCTAAAATGTAAAAATAAAAATTCGTTAAAATTATATACTTTAATTAAAAGAATAAGTCCATTACAAATTAGTTAAAAAGTATATAAAAATGCAAAGCAAGTGGAGCTAATGACGGTATCTTCAATAACCAGATCAAAGTCAAGTAACCAAGAGGCACAATATATCAAACTGGTCGCGTGCATAAGAGCCTTAGTCTAAACCGAAACCCCCAAACACCATTTACATTACCAAGAGGCACGCAAGAATAAAAAAGGCACAGGACACATTTATAGCAATAGGATATACCTGTTGTGTGAACTCCGCAGCTTCCAAATGTATCAAATGCTCCTTGTAAAGGAGCATTACCTGTTACTGCTTAAAGCCCAACCTTCGGTTACCATATCAATTTCATTATTCTATTCCATTACTGACTTTCGTCACTGGCAAGAAGAGTAAACTAACTGAGCATACATCGAAAGATAACTCAGTCGATCACATGAGATTTAACTCCAACGTTGTTGAATATTTTTTTTTCCTAACACCATTATTAATATGACAATAAAATATACCGACTTTAAAATAAATATATGTATAGTACAGTAGGTGTTTATACGAAAACCTTATTACATAATCGTGACCTAAGCAAGGTTTAGTAGACTATTTAAAAGTTACTTTATGATATCTTGGAAGTATCTTGGAAGTAAAATTTCAATATTCTAACTTATTTCACTACGCTATTAGCCAATATAGCATGGTTGTTGAGATATTGGGCTTTAAACTTGAAAACTTATAACATTGAATACACGAACGAAAAAAAAAATAAATATACCTAAAAAATCGAAATAACATCGAAATTAGATATATATTCATACGTTATGGTTTTTAAGGTTTTAGGAATTATTTTTTGTAATTTTATTACAAAAAATTATTAAGAATAAAGCGGTAATGGGTTAGATGTAGAATTGAAAGACCTTCTTCAAGGACTCTTACCTTCTTCTTACCCTGATTTTCTAGAAATTATATATGCCCTATCAAAACGTAGTTTTGGTAGTTAATTAATTTTTAATTTATAAAATAGCAAATATTTAAGTGCGCTTCCTCATTCAATATTATTATTTACCTTGTCGGTCAGCATTTGAATGTATGGATACAAAAGCACTTATAGCTGGATATGTTATGGAACCGAGTGCAGCTAACACACCTGCCGCCCACATCATCCTAAAAAAATTAATATATTTTGTTAAAAATTTTTTTAAAATATTTCTAAAATATATTTACCATTTTACATTACCAAATCCGTACCAAACTAATTGCAACATTTCTAAAACTAAACCTAAAATAATAGTGCGCTTTGGTCCAATAACACTACACGCAAAAGAAAATATGTTCTCAATGAGCTGACATCATTCCATTGCTATTATTTACAACTTACCGCATTAAGTAGCCCAATGTCACTTGTATAAAAATGCTGAGTATGCCGACGACAGCTATAAAAATTGCTACTTCCATTGTATTGAAACCCATTTTTAGTTTCAGATACACAAATATGCATGAATACTGACCGGCCTCTGGCAAGTAGGACAACAAAACTGTAACACACTGCATCAGAACGGTATGATCTGTGCCAACTTTACGTAACGCCTGCAGAATGCAAAATATACATTTTAGAAAAACAAACCAACATTATTGAAATTATTGAAATATGCAAATGGAAGTATGGTAAATTATTCTTAATTAAATGAACACCTACTGCAAATGGGTCAGCTTGCTCCCAACTAATTGGCGCACCCCACGATGATGGCCGCACTTTCTCTGGCAAGCTTTCCGGCACAGCAACCAGTATAAAGAAAACATCAAGCACTGCAATTGCTGTGGCAAGTGCAACCACCAAAGTATCACCATACGATTCCATTAGTGCAGCACCCAAAGCTGGTGAAATTACCTGAAATAACAAAATAACAACAAATACATAATATTTTGATGATGCCAATATTTTAGTTTCATTTCCTACCAAACTTGCAGCAAATGTAGCTGACACCAAACCATAAGCTTTTGAGCGTTCCTCAATTGTTGTAACATCAGCGACATATGCAAATACCACCGAAAAGGTCACTGCGAAGATGCCACTTATTGAGATCATAGCAAAAAACCACCATGTATTTATTGTCATAAGTGGTATGGGAGCACAGGTAAAAAATACTGTTATTAGTAGAAAAAACTTCCGACCCCAAATATCAGACAAAGCACCAATCAATGGCGCACTTAAAAATGATAGAATGCCTTTAATGCCCATAACTAGACCATTCATTAGAAACGTATGATCCGGAAAGGTTTGATTTAGAACCTGAAAAGGATAGGTAAACATTAAAAATAAAAAAAAACTAACTATTGATATTATTGGTATAATTCCAATAATTATCTAAATTAATAAAAAATTTTGGTATTAATAAATAATTCAATAATATCTTACAGAAATGACGGGCATTGTGAGTAGACCCCACGCGAAAAATTCTAAAAATATCACAACCAAAGCATGGTACACACTAGGCTCTCCAATACCAGAACTCTGTAAATAATTTTAATTAAATTAGTTAAAATTTAATGTAATAATGAACTATTAACAATATTAAACATGTTACATGTGATAATTAAATTACACCAATTGCGTTAGCTATTAAGAGTTATTATATCTGGTATATTTAACTTTTATATATACATAATTCGCTATTACACATACATTCGTTTAATATGTATTCGATTACCTTAAAAGTCCTATTTCGTCTAATTGATTTTTATATTATTATTATTATTTTATTAAAATATTATATATTATAATATTATATATTTTATTATATTT